GAGGGCACAGTGACCCCCTGCAGGCCTGAGGACACAGAGGAGCTCCTGCAGGCCTGAGGGCACAGTGACCCTCTGCAGGACTGAGGGCACAGTGACCCTCTGCAGGACTGAGGGCACAGTGACCCTCTGCAGGACTGAGGGCACAGTGGAGCTGCTGCAGGACTGAGGACACAGTGGAGCTGCTGCAGGCCTGAGGACACAGTGACCCCCTGCAGGCCTGAGGGCACAGAGGAGCAGTACAGAAAATGCCTGAGTTTCAGACGCGAGAGCAGAGCAGCACCTTGTAGGACTTCTTCTGCAGCAAACTCTCGCTGCGGCAGTTGCTGGTGCTGTACTGCATCTTCTGCGGGTCACTCTCCTGGAACCAGGCCGGTACCAGCCCCCAACGCATCGCCGCTACCACACACTCGTCTACCGGGGCGTCCTGGGGAGGAGGGGGAGGACAGACAGAGTGACCGCGGGGGGACCGCAGGCACAAAGCCCACACCGCAGACACGGATCGAGCCTTACTTTGTCGAGATGCCTGCGGGACAACAGCACGGGGCTGAGGGACTGGGGACTCTTGTTGTAAGACGGCCGGTACTGATCCGCGTCTCCTGCGCGCCACTCCGGCCTGCGGCGCCGCCCCGCTCTGTCTCGGTAGCAGGCGGCCCGGCTCAGCTCCTGGGGAGCCAGGGTGCACGCTGTCCGGCCACACATCTGGACTGGTACCCCCGGGCGAGAGCACAGCACTGGACTTCAGACACCACCGCCCGGCCGGCCTCTGCAATGACCGTTCGCACCTCGGGACACAAACAAGGTGGAGCAACAAGTGAGTTTATTCCTCCTGAAAGGAGAGTAAAAGAATCACAGCGTTTCGGCCGTGGAGCCTTATTCGGGTGTGCATTTCCAGCAGGGAATAAACCTTTATTTGTTCTTTTCCAGCCTACGCATGCTGACGCAACTACCCACCCAAATAATGTGAGGGCTAGTGAATGAGTCTAAAACCGCAAGCTCTACATCTTAAACCCCAAATGCCACATAATTCTGCAACGCCCGTGTTCTGACTGAATATATTACAAAAGCGCGCTCGCCTCCGGACGCAGAGCAGCTCCTCCTTGGTGCTTATTAACCTGCTAAAACGCTTTTCCGTCCCCCAGTCTGATTCAGCGACTGCATGTTCTGGAAAAGGCGCTGCACGGGAGAGTTTCGCCTCACTTGCTAACAGGGAAACAGGGATTTTCCTCAAACTCACCGCCACTACCGGGAACCGACAGACCCGCCGCCTAGACGCAGTGACGTCAGTGTTTACCCAGCAGCCGCACTCCGTCACGTGACGACGGGGAGGGGGAGGGGTTAAATGACAGCGCGACACGGCCCCGCCTCCTGTAGCGTCACCGGGAGCGCGCACCGTGTGTAAACAAGAGACTGTCGGTACAGAGCATGAAACTGTTCCCTGGAAAACGTGCTGGGATAAATTAAATTAAACAAAATGCTGGGTTATAAAAGTGTGCATTTTATAAAGCACTGTTTAGAATATTGTCTGCAATCCTGGTCCCCCCCCAGTCTAGAAAAGATGTTGCTGCTCTGGAATGGAGAAGAGCAGCCAGATCCACTCTGGGGCCCAGAGGACAGTCCTGCTCTGAGCAGCTGCAGGGACTGGACCTCTAGTCTGGGCCAGGGGAGACTGGTGTATTTATTCAGTGTCACCCGAAGGGGCCTCTTCAGAATAAAGTGAGACATGAGCCAGGGGACACAAGTGGAAACTAGAGTGAAATACATTTAAAACTGGGAACAGGAGGCCCTTCTTTACACCAAGGGGTGTGGGAGTCTGGAACAAGCTGCTCCAGCAGGTTGTGGAAGGTGGATTTCTGCTGGATGAAAGCCTTTGGCACTGAAAAACTGACAGTCTCCCCCCGTTTGTGTGGGGTTCGTCCCACAGTCAGGGTGTTCAGGTTAGCTAGTGGCTTTTAATCACTCCTCCGTGTGCACCAGTGTGTGTGTGTGCCCTGCAGTGGCCTGGCACCATCTGGCACCTGGATAAACATCTGTGCCATAGCTGGGATTGTACGGAGTGATGGACAGTGTCCCGTGGAGCAGAAGGATTCTGGGCTTCATCCCGGAGAGCTGGGAACTTAATATTCCCAAGACCATCACCCTTCCCGTTACCGACGTGTGCGGGTGGGGGGGAAAGGCGGATAGTGATCCCCCGTGGAGAGAGAGAGAAGGAACAAGGAGGGGGAGACCAGGACAGAAGCAAAACCCAGCAGCCGCTGGGAAGAAGAGAAACAGACACTGGTGCCTCCGGTCTGGATTATTTTAATTATATTCAAAAGTCTTTCGATGTGATGTGTTTCAACATAAAAACATATACAGAAGATAAACAAACAAAACAACAGGTGACAAACGCCAACTCACACGGGGAGAGGAGAGGAAGTGCCAGTGGAGCGGGCCGGGCTGAGCCAGTGTACCGGGTCAGAACCCACCCGGTGCTGCTCTGACCTCAGTGTTTCAAGATTCAAGAACAACATGATCTGTGGGTCTTGCCTGGCCCAGGTCCCAGAACACGATCCTCCTGGCAAGCAATGGTCAGAATGCCGAAGCCCTGCTGCTCCAGGCCCGGTGCAGAGCGAGGGTCCGAGAGTGAGCGCCCCCTGGTGGGCTGGGGCATCTCCCCCCGTCGGCCCTGCAGTGCCACTGGGGCTCGGGTCGCGGGTGGCCCCAGGGGTGTCTGCCCGTGCTCGGGGAGGGTCACACTGGAGCAACACCGGCGGAGGCCCCTGGGAGGCGTGTCCGCGGGGGCGGCCGGGCGGCGCTGACCCCCGCCCGCCGGCCGGCCGCGGTCAGTCCAGCAGCCGCAGGATGCTCTCCCGCTCCCTCAGCGCCCTCCAGGCCTGCTCCTTCTCCTTCTTGGTGGGCGTGCGCTTCTTCTGCCGAGCGGCCATGATCCGGCGGAAGGCCTCCATCACCTCGTTGTCGGAGACGCGCACGCGCTGGCGCAGCTCCTGCCTCCGGGTCTCCTCCCGCGCCAGCCTGCGGGGGGCGACACCGAGTCACTCACCAGCGCTCTCGTCCCCAGCACTCCCTTGGACAAGGGGGCCCGGGGGCTCTTCTTTACACAAAGGGTTGTGGGAGCCTGTAACATGCTGATGAGGTGAGACCTGACCAATTCATTCCTGTAAGAATGGTTACAAACACTGTGGCCCGTTTGGTAATTAGGAGTTAACAGGGTATCGGCTCCGGAAGCTGCTTCCAGACTCCCAGCTCCTTACTAACAAGCTGGATGGGCTGAGTGGCCCCCCTTCACAAACCGCCCCCCGCCTCACCTCAGCAGCTCCTGCTTCTTGGCTCGGTTGTGGGCGCTCAGGGCCTTCAGCTCGGCCTGCCTCTTGTGGAGCTCGGCCAGGACCTCGTCCTCACAGTCCGTCCCGGGACGCTCCTCCGAGTCCAGCAGCCCCTGCGCCACCAGCTCCTCCTTGATCCGCACCTCCAGGGAACGGGTGTGAGGCACACTGCCGGACACAGAGTGGACACTCAAACAGTGGACACAGAGTGGACAGTCACACAGCGGACACGCCGCCGGACACAGAGTGGACATTCAGACAGGGCACACAGTGGGCATGCTGGGGGAAGAGGGCAGTCAGGAGTGGGCAGGCTGGGGCAGTTTGGGGTATCTGGAAAGGAGTGGGGGTATTCAGGGAATTTTCTCAAGTTGTGAGTTAGAACGAGGGGCAGCAGTGGGAAAGGGATGAGGGGGCAGTTGGCTGGAAAGCCCCTCCGATGCAGAAGCAGAGGCAGAAAAGGGGTAACGGGTGGAGACAGGGAGTGCGAGTGGTGGTAAGGGGTATCTGGAGGACACTGGGCTCTCGGGGGGTATCGGGGGGAATCAGGGGCGCAGGAGTACCTGAAGGCCTTGCCCTGGCTGCGGGGGGAGGTACTGGCCCCATCGCCACCTCCATCCTTACTGGGGACCTCAGGAATGGGGGAGTCTTCCATTGGGGAGATGATATTCTCCTACAGCAGGAAAGGCAGTGCGTCAGCTTGTCATTGCAGGTATCTCAGCGACTCCCAGCCCGTATCCCGGCCCCCCGTATCCCTGCGTGTATCCACGTGGCTCCTGGCCCCCCGTATTCCTGCGACTCCCGGCCCCCCATATCCCTGCGCGTATCCGCGCGACTCCCTGTGTACAAGTGTGCCCCAGACTGCTCAGGTCAGTGTAAACCAGGAAGTCTATGTCCCTCCGTGTGCATCTCACCTCCACCAAGGCCTGCAGGAGGCGCTGTGTCAGGGGCCCAAAGGGGCAACCGTCCTCAGGGGGATCATGCTGAGACTCAAACTTCTTCTGGAGGGCGTCCACATCTGGAGAGAGGAACACACAGAACACAGACTAGACCGGGCTGCAGCCACGCAGAGCCCTGACCAGTCCAGAACCCCCAAGATCCTGCACCCTGACCACTCTGAGCAGGATCGCTCCTCCCCTCTCTGGCATCTTTCTTCACAACGTCACTCACTGCCCGTCTCCCTTGACACTCCTCCTCCCAGATTGTCCCCCGTCTCCTGGACCCCCGCGCCTGGCCCTCGCCACACTCACCCTTGGCGTCCAGTTCGGACAGCGGTCCCATGATGCCCTTCTTCTTGTCGTTGGCTCTGGCCCCGTCGCGCTGCTCCTCCAGCAGGTCCTCCTGGGCCCAGCGCTGGGAATAGTGCTTCCCCAGAGCAGGGACCTACACAGACACAGGACAGCAGGCAGAGAGGGACACAGGTTAAGGACAGGCTGTACAGATCGAGCACAGGACTGCGGGGAGAGAGGGACAGACTGTACAGCAAAGGCACAGGACAGCAGGTAGAGAGGGACTGACTGAACAGCACAGCTGCAGGACAGCAGGGAGAGAGGGACAGACTGTACAGAAAAGGCACAGGACAGCACACAGAGAGGGACAGGCTGTGCAGAAAAGGCACAGGACAGCACACAGAGAGGGACAGGCTGT